TAAAAATCGTTTAAGCGAGGTTGATCGTTCATGAACATTAATGAACATCAAAAACGATCTGACTTAACGAACGAATTTTCGAATGATTTTAAAAACACGATCGTTCTTCAGAAATCCCAATTTTTAAGAAACTTTTGACTAAACAAACGATTTCATTTAACGAACGATTTTACTGAAAAAAACGAACACAATAGATGGAAAATAAACGATTATTTTGATCACGAACAAAATCAATTTTTTTGAACGATTGAAATTGGTCGCTCACAAACGATTAACAAACAAAATTTAAAAAAAGAAGGCGCCCATCTCTATTATGAAATAGCCGGCCAAACCTCAACACAAAGAGAGATCTAACATAAAAAACATTTGAATAATATATACATAAGATTTTACCGTTTCACGTCTAACTAATGTAAAATATAAATCGTGTATGTTTTCAATCTTTACTTCTCTTATTGAAGAGCATTGTGACGTAAAACTGAGTGTTTTAAATTTCTAACAGAATAAAGGAATTGAGTATTTGTTACAAACTTAAATTTTCTAATTCTATATCTTTGCAACCTTATGGTGTAAACCTTAGATATTTCAAGCTATTTGTTGTAACAGAATTAATAGTTTGAAATATCTAATGTCAACGACATTTGGTTGCAAGGATACAGGGGTTAGAAAATCAGAGTTTGTGGCAAGGACTCAGTGGACCAGTGATCTCGCATAAAATTTTCTTCCACCTTCTCTCTAGTTTGCAGTGATTTTCGGCCTCAGCGCTGGTTGATTTTTCATTCTCCAAAGTCAACGCAGGGTTTTCAGAGCCCGAAATTTAAAAGAGTATCGTTGAACGAAACTCTCGAGTTTCCTTTTTGTGATCTTAACATTTTGTAGATTTTGATTTAAGGATATTGATATCCACAAAACTGCCTAACCCCATTCATAAAACCCGGGGTTTAAAACTGGTTTTCATAACGATTCCCTGTAGCTGTCTTAAGATTTGGCCTCAGCTGGGCGCCATGACAAACTCCTGAAAGACAAACTCCTGAAAAGACAAAATCCTGAAAGACAAACTCCTGACGAGACAAACTCCTGACGAGACAAACTCCTGAAAATAAAAACTTCTGAAATACAAACTCCATAATATCAAATTTAAAAAAATTAAAATCTAAATTATATTCTATTCTAATTATACAATTAGGTAATTTCCTACAATTTTTGGACCCCCCCCCTCCTATCAATTTTGTACATAGATCTTATATGTTAGACATGGATATAATTGACCATGTGGCCGCAGCGCTCGGCCCCCTAACCTGTCCTAGCCGCAGCGCTCGGCTCAGAAAGTGTCTTAACTAACCTAACCCATGGCCGCAGCGCTCGGCCCCCTAGCCTGTCCTAGCCGCAACGCTCGGCCCAGAAAGTGTCTTAACCTAACCTAACCCTAAATAATAAAAAATAAATAATAATAAATTTGCTGGTTATTCTGATCATTGTAATACTTTGCTGCTTGAAGCATATTCAAATTACTAAAGATTGAGAATTTTTTCTGGGATATTTGCGGATTTTTTCTCCTAAAGTTTATGAATTTTATCATATTTCATTCAGAGAAAAATTTCATAATTTCAGGAGTTTGTCTTTCAGGAGTTTGTATTTTCAGGAGTTTGTCTTGTCAGGAGTTTGTCTTTCAGGAGTTTGTCTTGTCAGGAGTTTGTCTTTCAGGAGTTTGTCTTTCCGGAGTTTGTCTTTCAGGATTTTGTCTTTCAGGAGTTTGTCTTTCAGGAGTTTGTCATGGCACCCTCAGCTGATGTTAATATTTTCATTTTAATATATACAGTACACATATATTGGTCTTGATATTAGTAAGATGAAACACGATATAGATCAGTTGCTTTATTAGCATATATATGGAATATAATTCTACCTGCAACAGTAAATAATAATATGTATATATATAAAGTAGTAATCTCTGATTGTTTGTATGTATATATGTCCAATCATAATTCATAAACCCCTCACCCTCCACCAAACCCTACTATTTCTTTGGTCAAAGCAAATAGATTCTAATACAATAGATGGCAACGAAGAATTTGTACACTCTCAGTACAGTTGTATTCTGTCGTCACAAGTGTCAATTCAGTTTTTGTGTCCGACAAAATTATCAAGAATAGTGTAAAATAAGTGCAATTTTATGTGTTCTTTAGTTACTGTTTTTACACTTTTTTATTTAATCTTGGAAAACATGTCAACTAATGTGAGACAATTTCGTTTTCCTTGTTATATTTGACACTTGTGACGTGTAAAATTTGTTTATTTCTCTGAATGCTTAGTTGAGAGTCCCCTGTACCAGTTTTCAAAGTAAAAAGATCATAAATTACTTTTAAAAAGAAAAAACACCTATTTATGTAGATATTGCTAATTTGTGTTAATTTAGAAGAAGCATTTGGTAAAATCCAAAAAGACGTTTTCGTCGAATTGTAAATATCTGAGCTCACAGTGGAATGGATCCTTACCTTGAATAATAGAGTTCATTAACTAATACTTTAAGTTAAATCATCCAATTCTTAAAGGAATCAGTCTTCCCTTAGTTTATTGGAATTCAGTTTTCCATTCACTTTATTTAGAAGTCTGAGTATAGAAATCTTTATTTTTACTCACACGCATAATACCATTGGAGACCCCCCCCTCCTCCAACCCTAATTCTCTGTCATTGGAGACAAATCCCGCCCCTCCCCCCAGCACAGCGATCCAACCAGCTCTGAACATTATGCAGCAAATATTAAAACCGTGCCGATTTTGAAATGTAACCAAGCTTAGGCTCTAGTCAAATTTTTATTTTTCTGTAGCCCTGCAGGTAACCATGTAGCCCTGCAGGTAACCCTGCAGCCCTGCAGGTAACCCTGTAGCCCTGCAGGTAACCCTGTAGTCCTGCAGGAAACCCTGTAGCCCTGCAGGTAACCCTGTAGCCCTGCAGGTAACCCTGTAGCCCTGCAGGTAACCCTGTAGCCCTGCAGGTAACCCTGTAGCCCTGCAGGTAACCCTGTAGCCCTGCAGGTAACCCTGTAGCCCTGCAGGTAACCCTGTAGCCCTGCAGGTAACCCTGTAGCACTGCAGGTAACCCTGTAGCCCTGTAGGTAACTTTGTAGCCCTGCAGGTAACCCTGTAGTCCTGCAGGTAACCCTGTAGCCCTGCAGGTAAGAAGATTTGAAAAGTTAAAGAGCTTTGAACCTGCATTACTCCTCCATACAACACCAAGCTATAGTAAACATATATTTTGTTTTAGATCACAAGCTTTTTTAGGCTTAACCGTAAATTAATTATCAGGTTACACGTACAAAAGTTAGACTTTAATGAACTAATGTTAATGCGTTAAAGGGAGTGTTTGCGAAAAATGAAAGGGGGTATAGGCTTAATGCGATAAAAAAGCGCTTTTGATCGCTACTAATCTTACTTCTATCTGTTGCGTCTATAAGGAGAAAATTGTTAAAAACGACTCACACCGAAGAACGCAGCGTCCACACAAATTCTACAACTATTTACGAATGCGTCGAAAAAAAATCGATGACTATTGTTTGTAATATCTGAATGATTTGTTTGGAATTAAATTTATTTGTTTACGATCTGAGTTGAATGTTGCAACTTTCTGAATTTGTATGGACACTACGTTCTTCGGTAGCAAAGAAGGAAATAAGACTGCTAAGATATAAGTTTAATCAATTTTCAAGACTGGGTTGACTTTCAAGTAACGCATCGCCTTGGCCTTTAATTTCACCCAACAAACACATTTTTACTTTTGTGTAGCCCTAGCCATGTACGTTGTACATTTTAAGTAAGAAAAAGGCTTGTGGGCAATATTGCATGAGTTGAAACCATGTGAGGTTTCGTGATTTATAAAACATTGCTAATCTATGAATTGTTTTATTTCTGGTTTATTGCACAATAAAGCCGTAAAAGCAAGTTTAACCATAACTAGGATTTGTATAGAAAAGGATTCAACCAATTTAAATGCAACATAGGACTGAACAGTAATAAATAGGCTCTTTTGAAAACATTTTTAAAAAGCTAGGAAACTTGACTTGACATTCTCAAAATGTGCTCATTACAGTATTTACCATCAAGCTCTCTTCTTAAGATGTGGAATAACCTGCATCTTGACTTAAAAAGACGAAACTCTCAAGTATATTTAAAAATAGACTACTAAATTCTCTTTTTGAAAATTACGTTACAATGTGTTATAAACCGAATTGCTATTCATGTAAAGCTAATTAGATATGTTTTAATATGCTTTGATATTTGTTGTTTACATGTCAGAAAATTACTTAGTTATTCTAACCAATGTATAAACTATTTTGAATAAGATAAATTCGCACCCTGATCTCTAATAATAGTCCAATGAACATGTGACGGACGCAGCAATTTGTTTTTGGTTTAACATCATCAATTAAACGTAAGGATTTCTATAATGTCGTTTTCCTTTTCCACAGTTTTCTGATCCTCACTTTATTATAATTTTTTTTAAATCCCAAAAACTGGATTTAGTAGATGTCTCAGCCGTTTTTTTCTTTAATTATTGAATTAAGATGGCAACCATTTAATTAATAAAAATAAATTAAATCGTATTGATTGAATTGAGCTGACTTAAAAATCGTCATCTTTTTTTATTGTTCTATAGGTTTGCGACTTCTTCCAAAAAATTTAACATCGTAAATCAGGAAACTTTTTTTAAAATCGCAAGTTGACCAGAAAAGAATAGAATAGACCAAGTCTGCAAAGTTAATCTTTTTTTAATCAAACCGGCTAAACAAATTAACGCTTTTATTTATTAAAAAATAAGAAACGTTTTACAAAGAATCTAAGAATGTCTACTTTACCGTCCTGGAATTAATGTCCCCTGAAAATATGGTTTACAGGTTTCATCTAGGTGATAACAATCTATCTGTCTACTAACAAAGTATCAATAAAAACAATTCTAAGTTTAAAAATATATTACGTTACAGTGTCAAACAATCCAAAAATGATATAATACTGGTCACATCAGTTAATTTAAAATCTTCTTTTTTACAAACAACATTTTATTGTACTTCAGTAAAATAATGTCCAGTTACATTTTTGAAAATATTATTGATTGAAAGTGGAGTACATGAATAGATACATAGAAACACATAGACATAGTACATAACAAGTATACAAAATAGTTTACTCCGCCACATTTTCTTAAACTTTAAACATTAATAATCAAAACAATCTTCGAGTTTTTGAATATTGAAAAAAATATACTACTTTTTAACCTAATGCTATTTAATAATCAACTTTTTAACATATTTCTCCAATTATTTCAACAGAAAATGCATCTCTATGATTTATATCACATAAGCAAGCTTTCAACCCACCTTGTGGAGCTTTCTTTGAGACTTGATTCACAGACTAATAAATAGATTTTTTATTCATTTCATTCAATTTCTCAATAGTTATTCTATACAATATTAAATATTAAAGAATTCGATACTGAACAATGGATTGCTTTACGCGTTTTTTTTTACTTTAGGGGACTGCATCATAGTTTCAAGTGACACAAGTACATGTCCGATTTACAACGGTACCCTAAAGTCCTCTGCCGGATTAATAATGAAAATAAATTGTCGTGCAAAAGTTTGACATACCCCTTTTATATATAAGGGTTCGCTTGCATTTACGTCCAAACAAAAAAGTCAAAATCTAAAATTGTTAAAATATCCAAAACCATTTTTGCTCAAGCTAATTACTTTGGGGTTGTGATCATATAACTGAACATTTATTTGATAGGAGTTTGTTTACAAGCAAACATGAAGGTTTTAACATCAACCTTTTTTGATTTCTTTTTGTCAGACATTAATTGAAGAAACATAAATATTTAAACATAGTAATTAATCTTTAAATGGACTCCAAGCGTAATTTCAAGTGGCCCTCCATGCAAAGATAGCAATGCCATATTTACACATTTCCCCTCTCTTTTTTATAATAGGAAGCAATGGACAATCTCACAGTAATAAAGTTTTCCAAGTTAGAAAAACGACGGTATCTTCCACAATTTTAAATCAGATTTGGTTTTAAGGGTATAGTTGTAAATCCGGCATTGTCATCTTTGCATGGAGGGTCACTTAAGTTTCGCGTACAATCCCTTTAATAACGTTAAATATATGTACATAAATCAGAGGGATTGTTTATGTTTAAATGACGTTGTACACTTGTACAATTTCAAGTACATACTTCGAGTAGTGTAGAGGGAGAGAACAGGGGGATTTATTTCTCTTGTGTAAGGGTGTAAGGGAATTTTAATTCCTTTCCTCATGAAGGGATACAGGGCTATTGGGGCCTGAAAAAGATTAAATCATTATCTTATTATTTAGAAATTCAATCGTCAACTCGATTCTCTTATTAAATAAATCAATCATGGTATGATCTCTATCTGTATAATGCTATTAAGTAGCCGCTATTTAGTACATTTACTAGACCTTTAATTATCCTCTACCTGTATCCTTGAACACTAATTATCCTCTATCTGTATCCGTGGTATCTTAGTATCCTCTACCTGTATCCTAGAGATCTCTAATTATCCTCTTCCTGTATCCTAGAACTTTAATTATCCTTTGCCTGTATCCTAGACCTCTAATTATCCTCTACCTGTATCCTAGATATCTAATTATCCTCTACCTGTATCCTCTACCTGTATCCTAAACCTCTAATTATCATCTACCTGTATCCTAAATCTCTTATTATCCTCTACCAGTATCCTAGACCTCAAATTATCCTCTACCTGTATCCTAGACCTCTAATTATTCCCTACCTGTATCCTAGACCTCTAATTATTCCCTACCTGTATCCTAGACCTCAAATTATCCTCTACCTGTATCCTAGACCTCAAATTATCCTCTACCTGTATCCTAGACCTCTAATTATTCCCTACCTGTATCCTAGACCTCTAATCATTCCCTACCTGTATCCTAGACTTCAAATTATCCTCTACCTGTATCCTAGACCTCAAATTATTCTCTACCTGTATCCTAGACCTCAAATTATCCTCTACCTGTATCCTAGACCTCAAATTATCCTCTACCTGTATCCTAGACCTCAAATTATCCTCTACCTGTATCCTAGACCACTAATTATCCTCTACCTGTATCCTAAACCTCTCATTTCTCCGTACCTGTATCAAAGACCTCTAACTTATCCTTTACCTGTATTTTGGTCCTCTGAGGTTGCCATCTTATCTGTCCTATCTGTATCTGTATCTGTCTCTGTCTCCTGTTCCAGCTCATGACCATCAGTAAGACGGGTAATGTTTCCTTGTGGATCAGTTGGATGGATAAAAGCAGCATTATCCTCATCTATTCCTTCAACTCCTTATACAAAATCAAATCAAAGTCTGATTGTAAAGCAGAGCAGTATAGTTTATTAACTGTTCTCTGGTTAACAAAGGGCCGGGTGTATTAAAACTAATAGATCGGTAACGGGAAATTTTTTATTTAAAATATTTTACCTGTGCACATTGATAGTTCGGATATACGCTGGGCGATCTCCTGAGCGTGCTCAGCATCCTCCTCTAGAGATCTCAATCTTAACAAATAAATCAATATTTTGATCGTCAACTATCAATTAGTTTATTTAGACAAAATCCTGATAAGCAAAAAAAAACTATAAAAACAAATTTCTTAAATAAAACGAAAGAAAACAAAATCAACTTATATTTGTAAAATTGTATTTCAGGTTTTCCTTCCTTTGTTACTTAAAAATGTAATCTCATTTTGCAATTTCTTTTCCATTTTTAATGAAATATTTAGCTGACTTCTGCAGAAAATAAAATATATAAAACATTGAAGATTGTTTAGTGCCGGAACCTCTAATTGTATTTGTGCCACAGGTCGTCATAAATTTTTTTCTCCATTAGGTTTCAAATAATATATCCTAGCCTCTGAAAATCCCCCCCCCCCCCCTGCAACTACAATTTACATTGCGATTGGTAATGGAGGATAAAGGAAGGAGGTTTATACATATGTGGGAAGATTGCTTTCGACAAAATATTTGATTGAATAATTTTTTTACCTTTCTTTTCTCCAGACACTTCTCTTCTCCTTCTTCTCCTCTTCAGATTCCTCTTCAGCACCTGCTGCAGGGAGCAATATCTCACCAGGACCTACTCTAGTGATCTCTTCAACCTGAACAATATAATCATCAGATTCCTCTTCAGCACCAGCTCCAGGGAGCACTATCTCACCAGGACCTACTCTATTATCTCATCTCGAGAACCTCTTCTACCTTAGTCACAGTGTGCTTGACGGACCTCTAAGAGATACGAAAAATCCCATGTAACGTTTTTTGAAATTCTAAAAGAGCCCATCAAGACGAACATTTTGTGATTTGTAAGCGCTTTTTTCACCTTTCCTTTTTCGCATATTGCTAAGTAATGCTTCATTGACGGAAAAGGAAAAATAAATAGTGAGAGATATGTAAGTGATTAGAGTAAAGAATAAGTAACGGTTTAGAGAGGAAAGGATAAGGAAATGTTTTAAGAGAAGGAAAAAATTAGAAATATAAGAAATAGAAGGGTTCAGAGTAAAGATAAGGAAAGCTTTAGAGCAAAGGTTAAAAAAAGGTTTAAAGTATAAGGATAGGTTTAGAGCAACGGTTAAAGAAAGGTTTAAAATATGAGGATAGTTTTAGAGTAAAGGTTAAAGAAAGGTTTAAAGTATAAGGATAGGTTTAGAGTAAAGGTTAAAGAAAGGTTTAAAGTATAAGGATAGGTTTAGAGCAAAGGTTAAAGAAAGATTTAAAGTATAAGGATAGGTTTAGAGTAAAGGATAAGAAAGCGTTTACGTCAAGCATAGAGCATGTTAAGGATAGAGCATGTTTATGGTATGCAAAGGAAGGTTTAGGAAAAACAGATAAAGAAGGGGTTTAAGAAAGAGGAGATATAACTTCACAATCCTTTTCTTATTCTTAGAGTGACCGGCAATGTATGGTGGTTGAACTGAAAATGCAGTATTGTGGACAAAATTGTACGATTCATTTGAGACATATAACACGTTTCCACGATGTATAGTTACTGAGTTTGAGTGCAAAGTCGACGCTCAAAATCATGAACTTGGGTGGGTACGTTTTCAGAATAGAAAAATAAAGTAAACTAATTAGATGTTTAGTAACATAGTTCTCGAAAGAAAAGAAAATTGTCAATAAATCAATGCTAGAACTAATTAGTTCGTTTTTATCATTTTATTGAATTTCTTATTCTTTATGAATTTGTTCACAGATTTCTACAATTCTTCAAATGTCGTCTTTTCAATAAAAATTGCAGAAATCTGCAGAAAATCTTTGTGAATAATGAAAGATTATAGAAACTAATAATTGAATAAGATAACTTATTTCCGATGATAAGAGGTAATAAAAAAGTTACATGGGATTTTTCTCATCTCTTAGAGGTCCTTCAAGCCCACTGTGCAGTGACTTTATAATGTCAAATGATCATCATCAAAGCTCTGTTTACCACTTATAAATCTATCCTACCTGCTGAAGTACAGCATCAGTATCCTCTAAACCACCAAGGGAGGTAAGGGAGTCCAAGGTCTCCAGATCTAGCCTCGTGAGGTTCGCAATCCTGGCAGCCTCCTCTTCCTTCATCTTGATCAGCTCATCCTCAGAAAGAAAGGAGAACTTACGATCCTTCTTAGGTTCAGGAATAGTCTGCTGTTCTATCTCCTGTAAGAAAACACTAGTTCAAATCTTTTTCACTAATAAGCTTGGCATTGGCAACCCAGCTTTTTCTAGAGACCTTAATAATTGTACAAACCAATTCTAATTACACTTACTTCTAGTAATTTTTCTTAAAACATTATGACAAAATTTTTTGCTTTATGTATAGCACAGAAATCTAACAACATTTTCTTCTATTTTATAAATTGGTAATAAATGGATATCCTGAGAGGGGGGGGGGGTCTTTTAAGGAAATAAACTCCAAATTTTTCTATCCAACACTTATGTTCAAAACAAAGAAAAATCTAGCAATACAATTTTTTTCAGCAAAATGTATGAAAAAACCCTAGACAATTTGAGAAGCAGTTCTATAATTAGATCATTGTCTGCAGAAATAATAATCATTATTTCCAGAACAAGACTAATTATCCTTTTCCATAGAAAAAGTTTTTTCTTCTCTAGAAAACCTGATTCTTTCAAATATCTTGTTGAATCCACTAATGTCCTAACATATCTCATTTACACTGCTGTTTTTACTACCCAACTCATTGCACCATGTACAATCTGTCTTCAAGATAAATAGATAAAACTTTTAATGTTAAATATATAAATGTGTCCCAAGTACGCCATTACAAATATACTTCAGTGCACACTGGTCAAAATATATATCACTACATGGTGTCGTTAACTGAAATGTGATAAAATACTATTTCAGAACCTTGGTTTACACACCAACCACTCTTTATTATGTCTAATTTCAGTTCCGGGTATATATAAATGAGCATCTATGGGAAAAAATAACTGAACGAGTGTTTCTTCACATCAAGATGTTTTCTCAAAAAAAAATTAACAGACAGGATTTTAATATTAACTCAACTTAATATTTTTTGGAGTTTCTAAAAAAATAAAACTTACTTATGAATTGGGGTTAAAGAACCTATATAGTTTGTATTAATCAAATGTATTTCTATATTAATCTTAAATTAAATTTTAGAGCATGTCTCACCTTTTCAAAAAGTTTAAGACGGTCTTTTAGAGAGAGAAGTTCCGGCATAGGAGAATCTGTATTTGTCTGTGGAGGGAGGGAAACATGTTCCCCTCCGGAGAGAACTGGGAATGGTATTGAGTTGGATAGGATACTACCAGGGGTGGGATCAATGCTGCCAGCAAGTTTGGGGTGGGGAGACTGGGGCTTGGCAGCAATGGGAGGTCGCTGTGTTTTCTTCTTGGGAGTTTCAGATTGATCTTCATATCCCGGATATTCTCTAGGTTCATCTTCTGTCTGTTCTTCTACAGTGGGTTGAGGTGTTGGTGTCTGTTCTTCAGGAATATACGGGGTTTCTGATACTGGAACAGAGAATGGGATATTTGAAGATAATGCTGGAGATGACTCCAGGACAGGTTCAGGAGTGGGGACTGGAGACACTTTGGGAGACGGTACAGATGACGCTAGGGCGGGGACAATTGTTTCTTGATTATGATAATATTGATGGTGTCTGGTTTCCTATAGATCACAAGGTTTAATATAAAAACATCACTTTGCCTTCACCAATATAACAAGTGCATTATGGAAAGAGTACAGTTTTGTAAAGTGAGAATGCATCCAAGACAAGGCTAAAGCATGAATAGTTCATGACGCCCACCAGTCACTTGTTTAACCTTCTTTTAAGTTAAACATTGCTCTCTGTGCTCAGATAGTGTGCCTTTTCCTAAAGAACAAATCTATCTCAGGAAAATTCAAGTTTTTACCTACTTAACATTTTATTTGATCAGGTAAAAAAGTTATGAAAGAAAAAAAATGAAAACATCAATGCATGGGTTGTTACAGGGAATCGGGGGGAAAGTATTAACCAAATAAAAGCTAGCCTTGTCGCCCTAATCTAGTACCAGAGTGAATTCACAAATCAGTTATAAGATTTGGTCGTAGAGCTTGTGAAAAATACAAATATAAATTTACCAGTGCTAAGGTTCTGGATTGGCTAACAAACAAATTGCTAAAAACTATCAAATAATTTTCCAAAATGTATCTGCAAGTTGACCCCTTAAGATTGATTTTACAGTCTTCAAATTCAGAACGGAGAAGAATTTCCTGTCAAGAAAAGCACAGAATTCCCTAAAATAGTTCCGATTGTATTGTCTGGTGGAAATGAAAAGATATTGTTCTGACTGTATTGTCTGGTGGAAATGAAAATATATTGTTCCGACTGTATTGTCTGGTGGAAATGAAAAGATATTGTTCCGACTGTATTGTCTGGTGGAAATGAAAAGATATTGTTCCGACTGTATTGTCTGGTGGAAATGAAAAGCTATAGTTCCGACTGTATTGTCTGGTGGAAATGAAAAGATATAGTTCCGACTGTATTGTCTGGCGGAAATGAAAAGATATTGTTCCGACTGTATTGTCTGGGGGAAATGAAAAGCTATAGTTCCGACTGTATTGTCTGGTGGAAATAAAAAGATATAGTTCCGACTGTATTGTCTGGTGAAAATGAAAAGATATAGTTCCGACTGTATTGTCTGGTGGAAATGAAAAGACCCAAAATAAATGATGCCTAATCAATTCTAAACTCTCTTCTCTTTACTTCAAGAATAAGCGATGCTAAGTAAAAATCATCTGAGACACAAAGGATTCTATAAATCAAATGACCACATCCTACATTTAGAATAGTTAAAACACATATGAAGAAAGGGGACACTGAAAAAAAATTACTTTTTACTGATACTGTAACACCCCCACCCCCCTCCGATAAATTAATAGCAAAAAAAATGTTAAACGAAACTTTTTCAGAATTTCTTAGAAGAATTTTAAATTAAAAAATGATAATTTTTTTTACAAATATTAAAAATAATTCTGTGAAAAACATTAATCCTGAAAGTAAAATAAAGACAAATTGCAAAAACATGTTTCTAGGAAGAGATATATGTTTGAAGGTTTCTAAATCCCTCTATTTAGTTTCAAACCACTTGGGGTTTAAAACCTGTACCAAGATATTCTAGCTAAATTTATATTCTCCAGAAAAAATTCGTTTAAAAATTATTAATTATTTTGTATTTCATAAAAGAAGCATTAAAAAAAGTCTATTTTTTCATTCTTTTAATAAAAATGCTAAATTGATACAATTTAATAAATAACTTTAAATCTGTGGTATTTCTTCAAGGAAAATTAGAGATTTAATTTTTTCCTTCATAATCAACCCTTCAACTTGAAATTTATACAATACTATCAACATCAGAGAAAAAATTCAGCAAATAAAAGTTTCAGGTGGAATATATGTACATTGTACAAGTTAATATTAGTAATTGATATTTACATGATTTTTTAAAATTTTCTTTCAATTATTAAATCCAAGAAATTTTACTCTTAACAAAAACTTTAAACACTTGTTGTATTTTTCTTTTGTACCAAAAAGGCAACCCTAACCATTTTTCTGAAAAAAGAGTAAAAAAAACTGGCCCCTAGTTTATATTTTACCTAAATGGTAAATAAGTATATACATAAGCTGGGTTACTAAAGGGGTTACTGTACTAAGGATAGAAAAAAGCACACTAATACAGAACACAACAGCATAGGTTTAATGTACGCTGTACAGCAGAGGTTTAATGTACATTGTACAGCAGAGGTTTAATGTACACCATACAGTGTATAAGTAAAGCAGAGGCTTTATGTACACTGTACAGCAGAGGTTTACATTACACTGTACACCAGAGGTATACATTACACTGTACAGCATAGGTTTAATGTACATTGCACAGCAGAGGCTTCATGTACACTAAGCAAAACCGCAATATTTGAAGTCTTATATCAATGATTGCAACTACTTTTCTTTCCTCTTAGTTTATTTTGCAATTTTATTGGACTTAATTTTGACTGGAGGGGTCATGCAAACTTGGTTTTATTCATGCATTATAATGCAAGGAGAGTTATTTCAGAGGTGTACGCATCTTTTGTACTGCAATGTACTGTCTCTGGGCGGTAATGTAAACACAAGACGGATGTCGAAACCCATAGAGTAATAAAACGAAGAGGTGAAGCTTAGCTCAGATGTACACAACCGACCTGTCTATTAATTAATTAATAGATTGGTTGGTTGTGAACATCACGATATGTTTACGTATCTAAAGTTGTATTTTATGGAATTGAACAATTTTTAGATGTTCTTTCTTTATTTAAAGAGAATTCGAGGATGTTGACTGCAAACATTTGACAATTTTCAAATTTGTAGGTTTTCAATTTATTAGCAAAAAGTTATGTCAAAAATATTAAGTTTCTAGGCCATGAATTTAACCTCAAACATTCTTATTTCAAACATTTTTTATTGTTTCTTCTCTTCAACTCTTTATCATAAACATGATCGTGTATGCAGTTTTGGCAGTTTTTCACGTTGCAATATTTAGACATGCTTGTACTGAAATAAACAAACAACTGAACTTGAATGTACTGCAGTATACAATCCTGTGTTTACAATCCATATTAATTGTCTATCTAATTATCAATACTAATTTTCAAATATCTACATTAAACCACTCCGTAGAAATACGATCGCTCTATATACAAGTGTACAACGTTAGATACGTAAACATATCTTAATGTACACATCCGACCATTCTATTAATTAATTAATAGACAGGTCGGTTGTGTACATCTGAGCTAAGCTTCACCTCTTCGTTTTATTACTCTATGTCGAAACCTGACATGGGATCCATCTTTCACATAAAAAATCAATGGTCATAGGAAACACTGATGCATCTATTCTTGTTTACAAATTCCGCCAGAGAGAATTGGTTTCAATATGTACGCAGAGTGTACGGAACTGCAATTAACTTTCCTTGCATTATAACCCTGGTTGTATTCATGCATTAACGCTGACATTTATTGGACATGCACCAAGGAATGGACAATTTTTTAGAAGGCACCTCACACTTTAAAAAAAAAAAATTTCTATTTGATTAATATAAGTATTGGTTTTTGCTTGGATTTAATAACATTGTCCATCCCTTCTTTCAACAAATACAAAACTGATAATTCGGCTGATTTTAAACTTAGAAAATATTAGAAGCATGCAAAGTTCTTGTATGCAGTGGTCCTTAAAATATTGCGGAATACAAAGACTGCCAATAGGTCAGAGATATTATGTCGAGCAGTCCAATAATATTAAACTGGGGTTAACTACAATNGCAAGAAATTTACAAAGAATAAAATCAGCTTAAAGGTTGTCTTAATATTCCAGAATATTCCGGCGAACTGTAATTGTTCACTTGTATTAAAAAATAATTTTTCAACTTATTTTTATTTTTAATTAGTTTCTAACCTCAGTTGATTCAGGAGAAGAATGGTGGGATTCGGACTAAAAACGTTTTTGTTAAAGAACAAAATAAATTCAAAAAACAAACAGAATTTTTATTTTATTTTCTTTTTTCTACTAATAATGACTTACCGGTGAGTTACCATTAAGAATAGGGAGGACAGAATGATTTGGTAGATCAGCTCCATCTACAAATAATAATAATGATAAAATAAATTTTTTCTTTAGTAAGGAAAACACCTTAAAATCGTGTGGATATTGTAAACATCTGAACAGTTTGTTTTTAATCTTTGTGACAGAAAAAATTTCAAGGAATAATAATTGTCTTAAAACATTTTTTCAAAATAAGTGAATATTTGCAAATTATCTTTTTTTCCATCTCATAATCTGAGTTCGTTTCCCTTATGTCCATTTGACAGCCCAAATTTTTATTTTGAATAATCTTTTTTGTTTGATTATTTTCAATTTCTTGTGGTTTTTAACAATTAAAAGATTTTTTTAAAACGATTTTGATGGTTATTATATCGTTAGAATTGACGAGGGTCAACCCAGACCAAAATATATTTTCAATAAATGTGGATTGTGGAACTAACATCTACTTTTTTTAACTCTACCATCACCGAATTTTAAATGTAAACATAGTTTCAGCCCCAAGTAACATAGAAAATTGAGTTTTAAGGGGTACTACTGTTAATCTGGCATTCCACTGATGGCTACTTGAAATTACGTCTATTTTTCCTTTAACTGTGGAAAGGATGACAAGCCAGCATAAATCGTTAGTCCGATATTGCCCAGACTTTACAAACTATTCAAATATTTTACCCTCAAGTCTCTGCAACAATATTTTCCAGGGGGTGTACATAGACAACATATCCAAAGGTGGAGGGGGTGGATGCGATTTAACAGGGCCCCAATTAACCTCTAGTCTCCGCAACACTATTGCCTAGGGTGTACTAAGGTGGAGGGGGTGGAGGTGATTAAACAGGGCCCCAATTCCCCTCTAGTCTACGCAACACTGTTTCCTAGGGGTGTAGAAAGGTGGAGGGGGTGGGAGCGATTAAACAGGGCCCCAAAGTAATGCCGTCTAGGTTTACAAGGCCCCCTCCTCCCTCCAAAAAGCCCCTGTTTAAAAGAGTATTCACAACTGTCGGGTTGGTATTGAAAAACAGAGAATAATTTGAAGAGGAACTCAGTAGAGTAGGGGTTTCAAATAACTTTAATTTATCCGATGTAGATTATAAAAGATATACAGGTTAAAAATTAAAGCCCCAAAATCTTAAAATTATGTTATTTCAAAGAAAATCAAACTTAACACTATAAACACTTAAGATCAGGCCATATTTTGATTAATATTGTTGAGGAAATAAAAAACAAACATTGCAATTGAATAAAAAATAAAATGAAATTATATACAACTTTAATGATTTAAAAGTGAGCATGTTTACCTTCTATACTTTCTAATGCTTGAGGATCAAATCCATGGCAGACATGAAGCTTGATATTATCTCCAGTATTCCTGAATATTAAAAACTAGATTTAACACAACAATATCTAGGATTTTAAGTGCATAATTTCATCTGCATATATACGTTGTTTCTCTGTTTGTCTGCCTGTTTTCTTGTTTCCAATAAACGTCAAAACAGCTAAACCGATTTGGCCCAAATTTTGTGTGGGACCTCACATGACCCCTAGAAAGGTTTATGGATGCTAAGAATTACAAAAAGTTGTAGTCCAATTTTAAATCCACAAAGAATTGTAAATCCGCAAACTTTTTTGCTTCATCGAAGAAAAAAGCTGTAGCAACTATTAGAAGTTGAAATAGAAGGTGAAAGCCTAATCTGTTAAAGTTACTTAAACTAAACCCATTGTTTCCTCGGACGTATACATGAAAAAGAATGAAAATTTCAAGAATTTTGTTGTTTTTTATTCGAAAATTTTTAATTATAATTGTGAGGTCATTTAAGGTAGCAGAAAAATGTAGGCCATATCAGTTTAATCGTTTGAAACTCAAATTTATGAATTTATCCAATATTTAAGTTTCTAACTCAGCTATTGTATAATTCATCCATTATTCTTGTGAATGGGGGTTTGCAACATGTTATTGTTGTACTGCAGTGTTTTTATTATTCTTGTTGACAATGGTAAACTTAAAACCTGCAGATGGGTTAACTAATTCCATAAAAATACCCCCCCTCTCCCTAACTCGAAAATTCTGATTGTTGTTTTGTTCCGAAAGTATAAAATGTATAAAGTATCATCTCCCCCCTACCCCTGGGGATTAAGTATTTAAGGGATCAAAACATTTGATATAAAAACTTAGTTTTGAAAACCTTTTCAGAGAACACAAACAAAAATTTTAATTTATGCGTGTTTTTAGATTTGAAAATAAATGAAGGGATGAAAATATTGTTTTGAATATATTCATTAAAATTAATTAGTTTAACTATTATTATTATTAATTATTCGTATCATATATTATTATATAAAATTCAATCAAAACTATATATTAGTTTCAATATGCCACAGAAGGCTCAAGATTAAAGAATAAAGCTAAAAATATACAGCAGACGACTAAAAATGCCCAAATTTCTTAATTATGTAGATTTTAGGACAAAAATTTAAAAGATGACATGAACTGTCATAAGCAATAATTGCATTACGCTTTCCTCAACAAATTTTTGTTTCCCAATTCACATGATTTTTTGACAAAATATATTCCCCGGATGGGTCTGTATCTGTTGCAGGGGTGTACTTTATATTAAAGACTTTAATTTTTGACCCNTGTTATACCCTTTAAGGTATGCACTAAACGCCATATGCCATATGCATATCACTATATGCTCTACATTATGCTTATTATTTGTATGTGGTATTTCTATTGTTTTATAAAAACATATACAAGGAAGGCTGAGTCTTGAGAAAATTGTATTATCTGCCATGAAAGCAAAACTGTTTAGTGCATAAAGTAAGAAATAAAAACTAATATCAACAAAGTTTGAGGTCAAATCCAATCAACCAAGCAATTGAACCTAAACAGATTTGAACAAAGCCTGGGATCCAAAACAAAGTAAATTAAATTACTTTCCTCTTAACTGGGGGTTAACTTTGTGGAGATTGATTTTCCATAGAACTTATTTACTAAACTTTCTGAATTCTAGTATGCAGAATTAGGGAACCAGGAGCAAACCCAATAAATTATTCAAATTCAGTTAAACCGATTATAGAAATCCAGAGATGTAGTTTTTAAGGGGATTAAAGTTTTCAGATTAGAAAAGAAAGAATTTATAATATTGTCTATGCATAACAGTGCAAAATTGCAACATTATAAATGATGCAGTATAAACTGCATCAAAAATGCACCAAGAATTATGTAAAAAGTGATTTGTTTTGAATTTTCTAAGAAACTAAGTTCACATTTAAAAGGACTGTATAATTAATTTTAAGTGACCTTCCATTTTAAAAAGGACATGTCCTAATCACAACGGTACCCTTAAAACCTTAATCTAATAAATAATGTCGGTTTTCTAGCTTCAAAAGTTTTAAATTCTCACAATTCTGTAACCAGAAATCCGCATGTCACTTTTGCAGAGAAACCACAAACAAAATGAACAATTTTATGAAAGTAAATCATGGATAGCAGCCATCCCATTCTATTAATGGATTGTCATTTAAAACACAGGTCCGCCGCTTTAGTAATTGTAAATTGGCGGTACAGTCCAAACTGGGACAGTTAAAATGTACACCGGTTGTGCGTGAATTATATGATTTCACAATAGATAGAATATCTTCAGGTTTAAACCAATGACATGTTCAGGAGAAATTTTAAACGTAGAAGTGATTAACAAAACTGTTTTCCTTAATTTCATCATGAAAATATTTCTCAACAAAGATAAAATTGAAATATTTATAATGTTCATAAAAAATAATAATAATAATAATAACAATAATAGTTTTAACAATGATAATAACAATATCAGCAAACCAAGATCATAAGACAAATTAACAAAACCTTCAACATCGGCATGAAATGTTATAAACTATGGCTTTATGCATTTCAAACAAAAGCTAGGAACCCAGGGAATATATTAGCAGCAACGAATCCAGTGTTTGACATTCTAGTGACCTCTAACGATCTCTAATTACTTAAAATGACCTCCAAAATGAAAATGTTTAACTATGAGCAATATGCATATCAAAAGAAAGCTAAGAACCGAGGCAATAAAGTAGCAAGCCGAAAAATATACACCCTGATCTGATGTTAGCCTATATTCCTCTGAAGTAGGATAAATAGAAGATGGTAGTTCAAACCGACCACTCAAAGGTTTAAAATAGGATTTACATATCATAAAGTCAAATTTAAATCCCACCAAGAAAACATTTTTTAAATAATTTCTCATCCTTATCAATCTTAAGATTTTTGATCGATATTAAAAATAAAATATCTTAAGATTTTTAAAAAGCAAAAATATCATAAACAAATTGCAAATTTGAGTTTTTTAACAAACTGTTATTAAATTAAGGAAAGTGCAGGATTCGAAAAAAAACGAATAACCATTTTACTAGTTTGGATGCGGTTCTATCAAAGTTTTATGGGATCAAATACCAATCAGAAACGAACAATACACATCCAACCAATTAGGGAGGCCCTGTGATATTTCGATAAGATTCTTCTGACAGATATTATAAGAAAATAATAACATTTTGGTCAAAATATTAAACAACAAAAAGTATTCAGATATTAAGAAATATTTTTCTTCAAAATTATGTACAGAATATTTAGAATATCTTACAGAATGTTACGAATATCTCACATAGTATTTTGAATGTCTCGCAGAATATTTGGAATATCTCACAGAAAATTTGGAATATCTCACAGAATATTTAAAATAGCTCACAGAATGTTAGCAATATCTCACAGAATGTTAGGAATATCTCACAGAATGTTAGGAAATTCTCAAAGAATATTTGAAACATCTCAAAGATTGTTAGAAATATCTTTGAGAATGTGGACTATTTCACAGAATACTAGGAATATCTCACAGAATGCTAGAAATATCTTAGAGAATGTTAGGAATATCTAACAGAATGCTAGAAATACCTTAGAGAATGTTAGGATTATCTCACAGAATGCTAGGGATATCTCATAGAATGCTAAGGATATCTCACAGAATATTAGGGATAATTCACAGAATGTCAGGAATATGAAACAAAATGTTAGGAATATTTCGCAAAATGTTAGGAATATATGACAGAATGTTGGGAATATCTCCCAGAATGTTAGGAATATATCATATAATGCTAAAGGGATATCTCACAGACTGTTAGGAATATCTCGCAGAACGTTAGGGATACCTCACAAATGTTAGGGATATACGCAGATTGTTAGGAATATCTCGCAGAATGTTAGGAATATCTCACAGAATGTTAGGACTGTATCGCAAAATTTTAGGAATATCTCACAGAATGTTGGGAATATCTTGTAGTATATTATCTCGCAGAATGCTAGGAAGATCTCACAGAATGTTAGGGAGTATCTCGCAAAATGTTATGAATATGTCACAGAATGTTGTTAATCTCTCAGAATGTTCTGAATACCTCACAGAATGTAAGATATGTCAGAGAATGTTAGCAATATCTCGCAGATTTTTAAATCCCAAACATTCTGTTAAAAATTAACTGCCTTTTATTCTAGTGTTCTAGTATTTTTATATTCAATTTGAAACATCATTGTCTTAAAATAAAATAAAATTCTTAAACTTTATTAGAATGTTGACATATAGTGAAGGTTGAAGGAATATTGAATAATTCTGAAATCTGAAAACAGGGAAAAATAAAATCTTTTCATGTCTTTTTTGGCGGTTATGAGGGGGGGGGGGATTAAAGTTTTCAGATTAGAAAAGAAAGAATTTATAATATTGTCTATGCATAACAGTGCAAAATTGCAACATTATAAATGATGCAGTATAAACTGCATCAAAAATGCACCAAGAATTATGTAAAAAGTNAACATAAATAATTTAAAGAATATAAATCTAACCTAAGTATATTAACAGTAAATATAACATCATCAACATAAATAATTTAAAAATTATAAATCTAACCTAAGTATATTAACAGTAAATATAATATCATTAACATAAATAATTTAAAGAATATAAATCTAACCTAAGTATATTAACAGTAAATATAACATCATCAACATAAATAATTTTGAAGATTATAAATCTGACCTAAGTATATTAACAGCAAATATAACATCATCAACATAAATAATTTAAAGATTATAAATCTAACCTAAGTATATTAACAGCCTCCTGATGAGTTGCACCAAGTAAACTCTGTCCATTAACCTCAATTATTCTCAACCCAACCTAAAATAAATCTATATAATAACAGAAGACATTCATATATATATTTTGCCTATAGCCGGCCAAACGTCTGGACCGAATGGGCTGACATTTGTGGACACTCCTGGGTGGCTGGGGGGCATGCTATAGGTTTAAAAAATCGATTTTGTTACAATTCTTTTTTATTGATTTTTTATATATTTAAAAAAAAGATTTCAATTTTTTTCCAACGGGCATTGCCGCGGACCCTTCAGCTAGTATTAAATAAAATCAGTATAAATTGCTTTTTAAAAAAGATTGTTCACACATAATAACCACACATTCGTAATAGAAGTATCTTAGACCGTTGTTGAACTATTTTACTGAGAATCAGAATGTTGGATAGTACTTTCTGTCATTACATTTTTTGCCGTTTAATTTGTTTTTTTTGGGTGGGGTGGGGGGGGGTGGGTTTCGGAGTTCCCTCATGTTAGTTAAATGCTATTTATTTAACTATTTTTGGTAAATTTTAAAAAGTTGAATGTTCCTTTTAAAATATTTCATGTTACATGTAAGACACATTTCTGCACTGAAGTCTAAATCATGCAAAATATCAGGATTTTCTAAATGTTTAATATCATAATATGGGGAAGTTGAAAGGAAACAATCTCATACAATTTTCTCGACTTTCAGGTCTAGTTTTTTTTTTTTTAAGAATGCTGTTTTCCAGAAGTTGTGGCGTGACGGATATGTGTGGATGAATCACTGAGTACATGAAAAGGGTTGGATAGTATACTTCCACTTTCCAGATACAAGGATACAAGGTTACAAGGATACAAGGTAACAAGAATACAAGGATACATAGAAGGATACATAGATACAGGGATAAAGGGATCCAGGGATTCAAGGATACAGGGATACAAGGATACAGGGATATAAGAATACAGGGATACAAGGATACAGTGATACGAGGATTCGGGGATATATGGATATATGGGTACAGGGATAGTGGAAAACAGGGTTACAAGGACACAGGGATACAGAGAAACAGGAATAAAGGGATTTAATGATACAGGAATACAAGAATACAGAGATACTCAGATTCAGGAAGACAGAGATAGTAGATACATAGATACAGGGATGAATTGATATCAAAATACATAAGACAAACTGATTAAAAGATACAGAAATACAGAAATGTAGAGATAAATTTATATCAAAATACATAAATAAAGAAATACAGAGATAAATTGATATCAAAATACATAAATACAGAAATACAGGGATAAATTGATAAAACTACAAAGGAATACACTGATAAAGAGCTACAGTGATTTATGAGAAACCTATATATTACTATACTATCTAGGAATACTGCACTGTTCTTCTTATATAGAAAAATAGAATAAGACAGAAATTATTGAAAGGTTTCGTGATTTGAAAACAGGTCAAAACTAGATCTTCTTGATATCATATAATCAGCAGGTCTAAACTAGATTTCCTACCTTTATTCTATCATCTCTAGCTGCAGGTCTAAACTAGAGATCCTACCTTTATTCTATCATCTCTAGCAGCAGGACTAAACTAGAGATCCTACCTTTATTCTATTATCTCTGGCTGCAGCTCCTCCAGGGTTTATTCTAACACAGAATACTCCTTCATCAGCTGAATCCAAGGGATTCCCAGGAGAACCCTGTAAAAAGATATAATTAATAAACGCAGAGAACCTTTTTAAATCCAATTAGTTAATTAAAAAATTAATAAAAAGGGATAACCCTGTTTAATAAATTCTTTTATTTCACATTTTTTCTTTTTCAAATTTTGAATAAGGATGCTTTAGTCAAAATAACATAACAGGGGCCAGATTTAATCCATAAATAGAAATAGCTCAATTGAACTTTTTAGAAGTATGAGTCATATTTCTAAAAAAATCCCCAATTATTTTGATAATAATCCCCCCCCACACAGAAGTTGGGTATATTTGTATGGTTTTTTTTTGGCTCAATTGAAGAAAGTAAATGATTTCTAGAAGAAAATGGATTATTATGGGTGTAAAACGTAACAAAAAAGGTAACAAACTTGCCTTTAAATTTGCAATTTAGAATTTTACCCAGATAATCTTCAAAAAAAAGTTGGAGGGGGTGCGCTTCATGCTATTAAATTTAGCGTAAGGTTGATTAGAACTAATTCATCTACATTCTACAACTGACCTTAATTCCTCCTTTGATAACCATCCCAAGCTTTTCACCAACTCCCTTCACTATATCAATCTCAGCAAAACCAACAGGAAGTGGATCATGTTGAACCTGAACATATGATTTAATTCCGGTCAAAAACATTACATAAACTAAATCATGTTAATGAAGAAAAAACATTAACATTTGAATTCAATGTAATGCTGTATCACCAGTGTTAGGAAGGGCAATGGCATACACCAACGAATTTTTTGCCTTATTAAAAATTTAGCAGGCTAGCTTTCAACGAAAGCAATTTTTTTATTTTCATGTGAATCTATTTAAAAAATCAAAATACACTAAGAATTAGAAAGCAATCTGTACTGTTTCATAATTGCCCTTGCCCCCTCAATTGCATACGCTATTACAGCTAGTATAGTCTCTGTAATTTTAAAATAACTTTTTGATCATAAAAATAAATTGGCAATGTAACATAATCTACCCAATTACCAGGGGTGCATCATACTGGTTGTCCAATGTCTAATAGGAAATTTGCGTAATATAGTTGCCGCTCACGCCACTAGATCGTACGAGAGAGGGAAGGCAACCTCCCCCGCAAAAGCTTCCGAACCTCATTTAATCTATTTGCAGCAGTGCGCGTCCCCATAGGGATTCCGAACCTCCCCTAACAGTCTTCCGGGATTGATCTTCCATTTATAATCGTCAATTTATACTATTTAAGCACGGTAGTCCATCTATAGTATCCCTAACATTTTCTAATATTTTTTTCTTTTCTAATTTACAATCTAAGTTCGGGTTGGAAAACCCAAACGTTGTAAGTTTTGTTTGATATCGCGTTTCTGGTTCCTCTTTTCCCTTCCCCTCCCCCTTTGTATTTCTGTGATTGGAAAGGTTTTCCCAGTCTAGGTTCTGATTGGTCTCAGAACCTGTTACTTCATAAAGTAAACCTGCCAAATTCAATTTGCAGACGAAAAGCGTAGCATTTATATTAAGCAATTTTTTCAACTCTAAAATTTAAGAAAATGTAATTATCTTTCGATTTATATACATATATTTATTTCAAATCTGTAGCGCTTGTAAAAAAGCCCCAATAATAGGTTTAAAATAATTAGGATATAACAGAGTTTTGTTTTCTTTAATATCTTAATAACTAGCAAGAAAATTTACAAATTGCGATGTTTTCTAGAATCAACATTTTATGAAGAATATTTTTTATTTGTCTACTTAATAGTAAAAGCTATTCATAAAAAAGCCACAGCCGTTCCAAGATTTGCTGAGAAAAAAAATCTATAAATAAAAGCTATTTTCTCTATATTCTTGCACATTAATCTTTTGGTTTATCAGGGGTAAATTTTAGTAATTTCTGACACCATCACAGAGTTAGAATTTGAAAATTTTGTTTTAATAAATCTAAATTGACGATTATAAACGGATGATTATTCATAGAGACTATTTGGGGGAGCCCAATGGGGACGCGCACTGCTGCAAATAAGTAAAATAAGGTTTGGAAGCTGTGCGGGGGAGGTTGCCTTCCCTCCCTCATCGTACTAGCGACAAGAAGCTGAACTTGGTTCCAGGACTGGGTAAAACCTTAATCTGAACCCTAAATTGCCCTTACCACTGCCGCTTCCATTGTCATACCTGTAGAATCATAATTTCACACTGCTGCAGAAGTGCCAGCACTGCTTCCTGATGTGTGCAGCACTTTAAATCCACTGCATTCACCTAAACAAAAGAGGGATCAAGTTGGGATTGGCTTTGAGATCAAGAAGACATGTATTAAATTTAAAGAAGGGTCTGTTCTATTCACAACGGTACCCTTTAAATCTTTGTGAGATCGAGAACGACGAATAATATGGAGTTATCTTTATTTGAGCGCCTGGGGTATCTGAAAATTAAATGCCTGGACACTTAAGTAAAATATACACCCAGTGCAAATGATAAGACTCTCAATATTCAGCTAGAAAACTAAGGATATCTCCGTCATTCTAGATCTACTAAAAAACAGGTGTGAATGGGATATGCCACTTTACAAATTTAGTCTACAAACCCTTTTATAAACCTAAAAGTGATATTTCCTTTTCTACAAGTATTGAGTTTAGGAGAACTTGGACAGAACACAGGTTCCAATTCAATATTGAATGATAAGCCTAAGAGCCGGTTCTGTACAAAGTTTATTCCAAGTTTTAAAATCAAATATTCCCAACCGTCAACCCTACTAGCTAGTCAACCATGCATAAACTTTCAATTCAGAATTGGCAAAGTGCAGAAGTTTAAGTAAATCGAGGAAAACTTTATAATTTCCCTCAATAATTTAAACTTTTCATTTTACCAGAAAACTTTTCAGGGGGTTTATTTTGCAAAACTATTTGCTCTGAGGCCGAATTTAAAGAATTTGAGCCGCGGCTTAAATCCGCCAAAACCCGGTTTAAACTAAGCTACGGCTTAAATCTTGTAATATTTGATACAATTTTAAGTGGAACCAACCATATTTAAGCTGCGGCTTAAATTTATTCCGAGACTTAAATTTAATCCGCGGCTCAAATTCTATAAAACAGTCTCTGTTTCCATTTAAAATAAATAAAATTTTATTTAAGTTTGGCACAAATTAAGTAGTTGGTAGAGTTGGTTTTTATACAGTATTGTGTAAAAATAAATTGGCGCTGAATTTGGATTCTTATCTTTGCTTTCACAAGTGATTCATGAGTATTTTAAAATGAAAAAAAATTAAATGGGTAAAACTAATGTAAAATTGCCATTGATACAACTTCAGTATAGATCTAAAATCAACGAGATGATTTAATTTTTTTTTCTTTTCTCTGAGAATTTAATCAAAAAGTTTATCATTTTCTACAACCTAAACTAAATAATTTTAAAGTCAGGAAATGATATGGAATAAACCTTTTTACAATCCAAAAAAGAAAACTATTTCCCTAGAAAGTGTTCCAAGAAAAGTTTTTCAATTTACTAAGTGAATAATTTTGATTTGTTTTGACATAAATATTATATTATGAACATTAACATGGAGATTGGAGAGATGAGAATGTGTACAAATAATGATAATATCTGATACAGGTGGGCAGGGGTGTCCCCCACGCAGTGTGAAAAATGTAGGACAAAATGGGAGTGGGGTTGAATTGGAAAACGCTTTAGCTATCTTCAAAAGTGATTAGTTTAATGATAAAACCTCTCTTCAAAAGCTTCCAACCATAGTTATTTTAAAAAATGGAAAACTATTTTTTGATGAAATGATACAACTGGAAGAAAAGAAAATAAACAGGCCAATCATTGATCTGGAATTTATTTTGAATGATTCAAATCAAATCGATCAAAATAAAATTGAATTAAATAAAATCCAAAAAAAAAGAAATCCAATAAAATCTAATAAAATCCAATATAATCCAATATAATCCAATATAATCCAATATAATCCAATAAAATCCAATAAAATCCAACGAAAGCCCAAAAAATCTAAATAAATTCCAAAACCTCGGATAAAAAAAAATAAAATAAAATAAAGTTTAATAAAACAAAAAAATAAAATAAAATAAGTTTAATAAAACAAAAAAATAAAATAAAATAAGAAAGCAAATAAAATAAAACAATCAAAGTTTAATTTGATTTTGTACCTTTAGTATTCTATCTCCCATCCTAAGTCTACCAGTAGCTGCTGCTGCTCCTCCAGGGATAATCTTACTGATGTAGATACCCTAGATATAGATCAATCAATCAGTAAATCAACCAATTTTTAAATCAACCAACCAATCAATCAATACACCAATTAATATTTCAATCAAGCAATGATTTACTTATTTACTCTACCAATCTATTATACTGCCCATCACCTAACCAATCTATTTAACAGCCAACCCAATAAAAACCAACCAAACAACCAATCCCCCAAATAACCAACCAAACAACCAATCTCTAAAATAACAAAAAAAGCCAATCGCCTAAACAACAAAAAAACAGCCAACCACCTTTATAACTAACGAAACAACGGATAAATAAACCTATCAACTACCCAGCCAATGACCAATCCAATTAACCAATGAATACTGTATTGTGAATTAACTTTAAAAGAAAAGTTTATTAGATTATCACAGCAAAGAATCAAAGACAACGCTTTCAATTGATCAATGGCTGCATAATGTTTATGAAAGTGATCAATGGCTGCATAATGTTTATGAAAGTAATCAATGGCTGCATAATGTTTATGAAAGAAAAAAGTGCTTAGGTGTTTATGTGAGAGAGATAGAGAAAGAAAACTAAGAGATAAATATGATTCTATGGTATCATATCCTACAAATCTAATCTTAATCCCTATTTTGTGCTCTGCAGTCTATATCTGATGAAACGTATTGAATGAATAAAGAAGAATATTCATATTTATATAATAAATGGTATAAATATTGAGAAATCTCCACTGTTGAATCTGTTGAATATTTATTGAATATAAACACAAGAAAAACATCCAATTTATAGATACTATATATGCTTCTTTATTCTTTTACTCATCAATTCATCTATTCATTCATAAATTTCAAATCAACGCTTTCATTCAAATGCTTACAACATAACAAAGAGCACTGTTTTCTGATTTATTTATCTAAACATTTTGCGATGAGGACATTTGCGAAAATTTTTCTGAAAAGTGACTGAAGTCGCAATTTCAAGTATCTATGAAGAAGTGTAGTTATTTCTTTTTTAAGTGTTTAATTATTTTTTTTTTTGCTTAATTGTCTCTGTAGAAAAGGCTTTATAAAGTGCAACAAGAAGTAAAAATAAACGACTTTAAGATAAAAAAAACCCCAATCATATATACCCTTGATCAGATAAAGGTACCGTTGTGAATCGCACAAGCTTTTTATAAATAAAAATTTTATAAAAAATGAAATTTCGTGTATAGTCCCATTTAATAAATGTAAGTATTACTAGTGCTCGGTTCTCTTTAATATATGATATGAATATTGTTTATAAGACAATTATGTTTATTACTGATTATTCTGATGGTCGCGGCAAATTATCAAAGTTTTAATGTCAAACTTCAAACTTTCTGAACTTTTCTCAGAACATATCAACTAAAAATATATTTAATCAACAAATGGATCCAACTTCTACCACTTGGATATCCAGCTGTTATACATTGGATATAATGATGTTTTATATTGGATATCTAGCTCGTATAGATTGGACACAAAGTTGTTATAAATTGGATATCCAGCTGTTTTGCATTGGATATCCAGCTGTTTTATATTGGATATCAAGCAAGTATATCTTGGATATCCAGCTGTTAAACATTAGATATTCAGCTTTTACACATTGGATATCCACTATCCAGTGTTACACATTGGATCCAGCTGTTGCACATTGGATATGCAGCTGTTTTATATTGGATTTTAAGCTAGTATATCATGGATAACCGGTTGCTGTTGGCTTGGATATCCGGCTATCCTTCCTATTCAGCCATTGAAAACTTTAAAAAGTATAGTTAGCAGAAAAGGTTAGAAGATTATGGGATTAAGTAAAACGTTTTTTTTACTACTCGACGTCAACAAAAGTACAGCTCACAGCTACCTGTTTTCCTGTTACGAATGGAACACATGAAAGATCGCTACCTTTTCTGGTCCGAATGGAACACATGAATGATCGCTACCTGTTCTCATGTTCCGAATGGAACACATGAAAGATCGCTACCTGTTCACCTGTTCCGAATGAAACACGTGAATGATCGCTACCTGTTCTCTTGTTCTGAATGGACTACATGAATGATTGCTACCTGTTCTCCTGTTCCGAATGGAACACATGAATGATCGCTACCTTTTCTGTTCCGAATGGAACACATGAATGATCGCTACATTTTCTATTCCGAATGGAAAACATGATTGATCGCTACCTATTCTCCTGTTCCGAATGAACACATGAACGATCGCTACCTATCCTCCTATTCCGAATGGAACACATGAATGATCGCTACCTGTTCTCCTGTTCCGAATGGAACACGTGAATGATCGCTACTTATTATCCTGTTCCGAATGGAACACATGAATGATCGCTACATGCTCTCCTGTTCCGAATGGAGCACATGTATGATCGCTACCTGTTCTTGTGTTCCGAATGGAACACATTAATGTTCGCTATCTGTTCCCCTCTTCCGAATCGAACACATGATCGCTATCTGATCCCCTGTTCCGAATCGAACACATGATCGCTATCTGTTCCCCTGTTCCGAATCGAAAACATGATCGCTATCTGATCCCCTGTTCCGAATAGAACAAATGAATGATCGCTATCTGATCCCCTGTTCCGAATGGAACAAATGAATGATCGCTACCTGTTCCCCTGTTCCGAATGGAACACATGAATGATCGCTGCCTCCAATGATGGAAAGTCCAAGAGGTCCTCCTGCACGGGATAAACATACTTCGTCGATAATTTTTGTATTTGTCACTCTTTGCACCTTAACATATAGAGATATTTTAAATTTGAATTTTTTTATTTGATCCAGACCCAATAAATAAAAATTGTTTATTTTCTCATTGCAATGAACAACAAAAAAAAAGATTAACCGTATTTTATCAGATTTGATTATTGTGGTCTTCAAGTAAAAGGAATGCCATAAAAGGAATTCCTACATTAAAATGTAAGTTATAAACTAAATAAGGAGAGTATTTGAGGGGGGTATTCGTTGAACCTTTATCAAATGGTGGATATCATTCTTATTTTATTACTCTCTGATGTTTCTGTAAAGTAGAAAAGTCTTCTGCAGTCCAAAAAAAATGGCTTGGGAAACCGGTTTCTGTCCGGTATAGTTGGGCGGCACAAGGCTAGTTGCCTGGAAAAGGTTGATAGTTTACCGTGGTTTCCGTGAATGTAGTTTTGGTTATAGATTCAGTAACTATTCCAGGTTTAGAGATCAGCATACTTGAGATACTTCCTAAAAATACAAATATTTGATGCTACACGCTACACGCTACACGCTACACGCTACACGCTACACGCTACACGCTACACGCTACACGCTACACGCTACACGCTAAACGCAAAACACTAAACCTTAAATCTAACGCTAAAAATCAGTGCTCACTCCTTTATGAACAACATAAATTAATTATGATTTTTATATGTAGTATATGTTCTGTGGCATATATTATTTGTTATACCCTTTAAGGTATGCACTAAACGCCATATGCCATATGCATATCACTATATGCTCTACATTATGCTTATTATTTGTATGTGGTATTTCTATTGTTTTATAAAAACATATACAAGGAAGGCTGAGTCTTGAGAAAATTGTATTATCTGCCATGAAAGCAAAACTGTTTAGTGCATAAAGTAAGAAATAAAAACTAATATCAACAAAGTTTGAGGTCAAATCCAATCAACCAAGCAATTGAACCTAAACAGATTTGAACAAAGCCTGGGATCCAAAACAAAGTAAATTAAATTACTTTCCTCTTAACTGGGGGTTAACTTTGTGGAGATTGATTTTCCATAGAACTTATTTACTAAACTTTCTGAATTCTAGTATGCAGAATTAGGGAACCAGGAGCAAACCCAATAAATTATTCAAATTCAGTTAAACCGATTATAGAAATCCAGAGATGTAGTTTTTAATATCGTCTCTTTGCAATTTTCCTATAGGTTGGATCATATGACTTCCACGCTAAACGACCGAACAATGCATCAACCATCATTCCGTAGAAGTCAGGGCTGAGCCTCCGCCAAAAATAATCGTACTAGAGGCCTGATAATCATTATTTTGGCAGAAAATGTAAATTGTAGACTTGTTCCATTGAAACTTTATTTAACCCCTTTTACACCCCTTAACCTCTATTATCCATCAAACTCCTTTAAACTCTTTCTCGGATCCCTTTAACTCCTTTCTTAATCTGTGTACATATCCTTTCTAAACCGTTTAAACCCACATTCGAAAACCCTTTAAAATCTCTATTTCTAAATCCCTTAAGACCTCTTTCTAAATTCCTCTAATGGGCGAAATAATAGAAGAACGTTCAAAATTACAATAGAGAAGAACTTAACAAAAAAATTCAATTTGTTAAAAGAACCCAAGCTGAAATTAAATCCTACGATGTCGGAGATGGTTCATAAATAGCTCTGCTAACGACGTTATTGATTTTTATTAACACTCGTAAAATATCACAGAACAGCCGACAATTGTTCTTAAAGTGTATCTTTAATGGTTTATGCAAATACGCCGTTTATATTTTATATAGAACTTATTTCCTAAACTTTCTGGATCGAGTTACATTCTATTCTCGTATTTGAAAAGATATTTCCTTGGTAAAATGTTAATATAAAGTAATAATACAGATGTGAAAGAAACTCAGTATTTGCTAAAGCTCCAGTAACAAACTAAAGAGACTGTCCACATGAGTTTTAGTATAACTTTTAAAAAAGGGCTAAAATATTTTAAAAAAGGACTAAAATATTTTTTAAAAGGGCTTAAATATTTTTAAAAAGGGCTTAAATATTTTTAAAAAGGGCTAAAATATTTTTAAAAAGGGCCAAAATATTTTTAAAAAGGGATAAATTATTTAAAAAGGGCTTAAATATTTTTAAAAAGGGCTAAAATATTTAAAAAAAAGGGCTAAAATATTTTAAAAAAGGGATAACAAATTTTAAAAAAGGGCTTAAAATTTTAAAAAAGGGCTAAAATATTTTTAAAAAGGGCTAGAATATTTTAAAAAAGGGCTTAAATATTTTTAAAAAGGGCTAAAATATTTTTAAAAAGGGCTTAAATATTTTTAAAAAGGGCTAAAATATTTTTAAAAAGGGCTAAAATATTTTAAAAAAGGGCTAAAATATTTTTAAAAAGGGCTAAAATATTTTAAAAAAGGGCTAAAATATTTTAAAAAGGGCTAAAATATTTTAAAAAAGGGCTAAAATATTTTTAAAAAGGGCTAAAATATATTAAAAAAGGGCTAAAATATTTTAAAAAAGGGCTAAAATATTTTTAAAAAGGGCTAAAATATTTTAAAATTTATCCTCTCTAAAAAAATCTAAGCTCTCTTTAAAAAAACATACGGTGTGAGTTTTAGCGATGAAAAGCAATAAATCACGATTTTTCAGCTTAAGGTTACAGTTAGGCAAACAGTCTCTTTTTAGAGATGATAATCCTTTCCATCTTTTCTATTAAATCCTTTAAAGCTTTAAATTTAAAAAGTCACAATGCATTTAAAAGAAACTTGAAGATTAAATCTTATCTTTTATTTTTATAAAATAAATTTTTGTAATTAGATAAGAGTGAAAAATGATTGAAAGCGTTGGATGGAGATTATGTAAAGTTTGAATCTTTTCTTTGAAGACTTTGCCTTTGAAGTTGGAACCTAATAAGCGAGATATTCATTCAAAGCCACGAAAAATCTAATTCTAAGGGAAAAGTTGAAAAGGACAGAAATTAGTTTATTTAGTGTCAAAGTTTGGACAGTAAAATGACCATTTCACAGAAAACATGTTCGAGTCTATTTTTGAAATCTTAATCTTATATATTCTTGTTTACAACCTCTGCATTTCTACAAAAGAGAAATGAATTGAGAAAATTAAACAATTTTTTTGCGGCCCTTAGTAATTGGAAGTTCCCTAAAAAAGCATTTATATTGGATAATCCCTTTTTAAGTGACTAGAAATTCAAGGCGCTTCGCGCCCTTCTTTCTAGCCTTAGAGGGCGCTTCGCGCCCATCTTCTAAATTAATAATAATAATAATAATAATAATAATAATAATAATAATAATAATAATAAAAATAAAAATAATAATACTACCTTGTAAGGTGTAGATCCAAGACCTCCAGCTATACTTAAACCAAGACCTTTATCAGCTCTTGAGAAACTGATTTCTTTCTGTATAGTATCAGTCATCAGCTCAGGACCAGGACTATCAGTCTCACTAAATGTTTATTTATCAGCATTAATTATCAACAATTTTTAAATGTTTAGTTATGATCCGTTATGAAATGTTATGATCAATTATGATCAATAAATGATCAAATTTTAAATAATAACTGAACAAATATTGAGCTTAATTCTAGCAGTAGTCAAATATCTAGAATATATTGATCTTAATTAACATACAAATCAGTTCTGAAGTAAGAATATGGAAACTTATCAACATGTTTTATCAATTATCAATTAATACCTAGAACTAACATACAAATCAGTTATGAAGTAAGAATATGGAAAAAATAAACATGTCTTTATCAATTATCAATTAATACCTAGAATTTTTTTTAACAACCAAAGAATAATAAAAATGATAAAAAAAACAGTCAAACATCATTCACATCACTATCTTAGGTCAGAAACTGAAATTAATGAATTAGAAAGGTTGCTGAACCACTATACAACCGGACTAGACCATGAATCACTGATTCAAATCCTCATGAATCTTTCACTTTGAATCGTTGATTCAAGATTTGCACCGGCATTAGTAGTTTAGCGACCCAGCTCAAGTTCATTAATTCATTAATATCTTATATGCCCGAGAGTGCATTAAAGAAGTAGTCAACTTTAAATACCTAGTTTAATTATCTATATAATAAAACAAGACATTCGTGTAAATATGTTGCGTATAGCCAACCAAACGGCTGGACCGATTGGGCTGAATTTTTTTTGTGGACACTCAGGGGTGTTCGGGGGTGTCGTAGGGTAAAACAATCGAAATTTTATCTCTCAACATTTCTTTTTCTTTCATTAAAAAATTTTTCAAATTTTGTTCTTTTCTTTTTTTTCTACGGGCAACGCCGGGCCCTTCAGCTAGTTTATAAATATCAATGCACTGTACTGTAAAGTGTTGATAAAACCAAGGATAATTACGAACACCTCTTTTATGTGTTAACTGTAGTGTACTGCATTTTTAGTATAGTTGGTTTATATGCCTCATTGACAAAGGTTTGGTGGTTCCTGCATTAAATTCATAGATTACGCCACAAGTGATGAAAAGTTCATTCATGATTCAACAATATCCTTCATGTGTATTCTATTCTAACTAATATTTGAAATTTTGATCATTCATAAACCTTCCCTGTGGTCACGTGATGTCCCACAAAAAATTTGGGCCCGATTAGTTCAGCCGTTTTGACGTTTATTGGATACAAACAGACAGACAGACAAACAAACAGACACCCAGACAAGCCAAATTTATATATAGATGAATCCTAATCTACGACGTAGGAAATCTTCCCAATAAGTATTTCTCAGTATTTATTTACCTGTGTCCAGCCCATTTGTTGATTGATTGAGTTTTGATTTGATTGCCAGAGGGATCATAGAATCAAACTGCTGGTTCGAGATACCACCAGCAGGAAGGGTTGAACTACTTCGCCTTAATTATTATACGTTTTAAAGGGAATGTTTCCTAATTTTAACAGGAGAAAAGCAAATAAATAATCCAAAATTTGTTTCAGCTAGTATTCAATATTCATTCAATTCAATAATAAAAAATTAATCAGAACGAATTTAACAAAAAAGCATGGATGTACTTTGAAATTTAATAATTAAGTTCTAAAAAAAATCTCTTAAAAAGCTATTATCACTTTCCCATCCTCTGAAGTCATTTTCAAAAAAGTCTGATAATTTTGGCAAACTTTTAACTTTGAACAGGGAAGAATAAATGTCCCTGTTTCGATCTGAGATAAAATTTGACTAGGGCAATATATCCCTTTAGTTGAAACTGTAAAACAAGTGTAAACATTTATGATGCCAAGTCTAAGAATTATGATCCCTGTTTTAAAGTATAGAACCTTCTTTATTGTCATCATGCATCTTAAACAATTTTAAAGAAATTTATTTACAGAATTTAAGGGACTGAACTGAGGTACTTTTAAGGGACTCTTTATTTAAAAATAACATTTCCACCCTCCATACATAATCAACGCAGTGCAAGAAATTAACACTTTTTACCAAGAACAGTGATTGACATTGACAATTTCTTTTCAAAGAGAAGATGATAGATATCTTATACATTCATAACCAGACAAAGTTTTTTAGGGAACCGTTATGAATTGGCTATGCAAAATTTAAAAAAATTGCAATAACTTTATGGGGTCTCTTAAAACCCCCTAGGGGGAGGAGGAAGGAGGTTTTACATTATAAAAAGAAGTCATTTATGCAAATCCAAGAAAAAATGTACAGAGCCTGAATAATGGAGGAAAATCTGAATTTAATTCAATGGGGGCAGAAATAAAGTAGTTGAAATAGGTACGAATAGGTTTGTCCCTCTTTGAGTTCGTCTACCTTCTCAAACCATAAAATATCATTTTTGGATTTTAATTCGTTGGTCCTAAGGTCGGAATTAATGAATAGTGAGTTTAACTAATTCTCACTGAAGAATACGATTAAACCATCAGTACACAGTTCAACTACATTTCGCTCTTGATTAGTTCCGACCCTTGAAATAATTACCTAGCTATATCTGTTCCAGATGAGTTGGTCAGCCCAGGTAGCTTGTAACCCTTGTCTGTATTCATCAAAGTGTAATTACCTAAATACGTATAATTTATTCAAACACGGGATTAAGCTGGTTCAATAAAAATGAGGTTCAGACATGCAAAACTGTATTTTTCATAAGAAAATAAGAACCTTTTTACTTAACAATTAACACAGTCTCACAGCCTGTTCCATAAAAATAAAGTTCCAACATTTCAAAACTGTATTTTGTAAAAGTTTGCTTTTATTAAATTTTGCCTAATTCGGATCATAAGAAAAAATTGGAAAAAACTGAACGACACAGGAGTTTATAAACTTTTTGTTTCTTTTTTGCTTGTAACCTTACTTAAACACATTTTATTTCTTCAAACATTGGGTTTAAACTTAAAACTTAACATTTTACACTTACAGCTTGTTCAATAAAAATAAGGTTCCAACATTTCAAAATTGTATTTCTTAAGAGTTTATTTTTATTTAACTTTGCAAAATTCATATCCTAAGAAAAAAAGGGGGGGGGGGCGAACCTGAGACTTATCTGAGGGTAAAATTTTGGCATATTAGAAATAAAACAAATGTTCAGCATGAACAATTTTGAAATTTAAATAACTTCTCAAATTTATGGGTATAACAGGAAACACATCGAAAAATGCTCCGACGCAGAATTTCAGCCTTCCTAGCTATGTGCATTGTGCATCCTTGTTAAGTATTTTTTTCATGAGAAAAAGAAGCAATTTCCTCCTTAACTCTATTCTTGCTTATCATATTAACAAGTTATTAAATGCTGAATTTTATCAGGTTAAAAATGTTCCGTCTTGTAGCTTTTAAAAAAATTCCTCATCTCTCTTTTTAAAAGATGTAAAAAATATATCTATTTAAAGATGAAACAAGGATAAAATAAAGCTCCAAAGTTCTCCCCTGAAGCGGGTCTGAGTAGATTGAAAACTTAGTTTGAATTGCTGAAGGCAGTGTTTCTATTTCTAGAAAACTAAACCCTAGCTAACAATACACACAAATAATAATTTCATTTCTCTCATGGCGACTTGGCTGTTGTCTGTCTCTTGGTTTGTCTGTTAGCGTCAAAACGACAGAATTCATCTGTCCAATATTGTTGCAGAACGTCAAACGACCCTAAGAAAGGTTTCATGCCCCCCTCCACCCCCCACCCTATTTATTTAGTTTTATGATGTACGAAGACGAAAGGAAAGCGATAATTAAAAACCAAAATGATTACTCTGTGGAAGACGATGCCTGGCCGCGTTAAACTAGTTCCACAAGATTCAACAGAATACCCTTTAATGGAGAAAGGAAAAATTTAGTCGGATTGAGACATTCAAAATTTTCTATAAAATTACTGTCGACTGTCGTGCTAATCAGAGATGAGTTGTCGCTTTGATAGTTTGATAGTCTGTCTAAATATCAAAAGGTCACATTATTGAGACTAAAATTTAATTTGCTGTTGAATAAAATTTAACATACCTGGCTCCCTGGACCTTAAACCATAGCTAGGTCTGTTGGCCATGTACGAGCTAGCGCTGTAAAGTCCAGTGTACGGTTTCGGTACACCAAAAACCTGAACGTAAATAGAAATCAAATTGATGATTTAAAGTCTGTTAAGCTTGGACCTTGCACAAATGGCTATTAATTCTATACCTTTGGTGATTTATCCTGTGATGAATTAAGAGAAGGTGGAGCAGTTGATCTTGGGACTAAACTCTCCCTTTCAACAACAAGTCTTACAAACCTTTCCAGGCCTGTCAACATCTGTACTGCCTAAATATTTAAGGTAAACATATGAACTGCATAAATATTCAAGGTCAACGTCTGTACTGCCTAAATATTCTAGTTCAACATCTGTACTGCCTAAATATTCAAGTTCAACATCTATACTTCCTAAATATTCAAGTTCAACATATGTACTGCCTAAATATTCAAGGTCAACATATGTACTGCCTAAATATTCTAGTTCAACATATGTACTGCCTAAATAATCTAGTTCAACATCTGAACTGCCTAAATATTCTAGTTCAACATCTGCACTGCCTAAATATTCAAGTTCAACATCTGTACTGCCTAAATATTCAAGTTCAACATCTGAACTGCCTAAATATTCTAAGTCAACATCTGTACTTCCTAAATATTTAAGTTCAACATCTGTACTGCCTAAATATCCAAGGTAAACATAGGTACTGCCTAAATATTCTAGTTCAACATATGTACTGCCTAAATATTCTAGTTCAACATCTGAACTGCCTAAATATTCTAGTTCAACATCTGAACTGCCTAAATATTCTAGTTCAACATCTGAACTGCCTAAATATTCTAAGTCAACATCTATACTTCCTAAATATTCAAGTTCAACATCTGTACTGCCTAAATATTCAAGGTAAACATATGTACTGCCTAAATATTCAAGGTCAACATATGTACTTCCTAAATATTCAAGTTCAACAAATGAACTGCCTAAATATTCAAGTTCAACATTTGAACTGCCTAAATATTCAAGGTCAACGTCTGTACTGCCTAAATATCCAAGGTGAACATAGGTACTGCCTAAATATTCTAGTTCAACATCTGTACTGCCTAAATATTCAAGTTCAACATATGTACTGCCTAAATATTCTAGGTCAACATCAGTACTTCCTAAATATTCAAGTTCAACAACTGAACTGCCTAAATATTCATGGTCAATGTCTGTACTGCCTAAATATCCAAGGTAAACATAGGTACTGCCTAAATATTCTAGTTCAACATCTGTACTGCCTTCTTGGAGTACTGGAGTACCTAGTTCAATGCAATGATAATGCAGATTGTGTTAATACTGCATGACTGCAGATTTAAATATGTTGACGATCTAACTATACTTGAACTTCTCTATTTATCCAACCTTTCAACTGGAATATCCTCATATAACCATAAGCTGCATGTTGCATCAGATATTGGTATTGATAATATTTTTATCCCTCCGACCAACCTTCACACTCAGATATGTATTAACACAATATCAGACTGGACTGAACAGAATAAAATGATGCTTAATTGTGAGAAATCCAACTATATGCTATTCACCAGATCTAAATCCAACTTTAGTACCAGACTCAAACTTAATAGCTCTAACCTCCAAAGAGTCGAATCAATGAAGTTACTTGGAGTCTGGATAACTGAAAACCTAGATTGGGAGACTAATACAAGAGAAATATGCAAAAAAAAGTTATGCCCGATTATCCCTACTCTGTAAACTCAAGTTTATTGGTATGAACCTGTAAGACCTGGTTAGAGTTTACATTGCGTATATACGTAGTATTCTTGAGTACTGTTGTGTAGTATGGAGTTCCTCTTTAACCATAGCACAGGATGAGGCCCTAGAAAGGGTTCAGAAGGTGTCTCTAAAAATTATTCTAGGCCCAGTATATGTTAATTATCAATCTGCTCTATCAGTTCTGGAACTAGAAACCTTAAGGATTAGGAGAGAGAAACTTTGTTTATCCTTTGCTAAAAAATGTCTAAAATCTCAAAGGCATTCTGCCCTATTCCCGGTAGAACCAGTCACTCACAACCACCAGCTACGGAACGTTGAACTATTTACTGTCAACTATGCTAGAACGAAGAAATACAGAAAATCTGCTATTCCCTATATGCAGAGAAAATTAAACTTCCTATGATATAAACTTATCTTAATCTGTGATAAAACCCATGATATATTCAATTATATTCTTATGAGAATGTTAATCATATTATAATATGTATTATGATCTTGATTTATCTCTAATAAATCTTACTTACATAGATTACTGCCTAAATAATCTAGGTCAACATCAGTACTTCCTAAATATTCAAGTTCAACATCTGTACTGCCTAAATATTCAAGTTCAACGTCTGTACTGCCTAAATATTATCAAGCAGGTCTATATTCAGCCAGTCTGAATACAAGAGGGCAACAGAATGTCCAAGTACATATTTAAGTAAAGAAAGGTCTCATTGACTTGATGTACAACGCACCTGATCATGACGTGCATCAGTGACATCAACGCCGTTTATCTGAAGGATTTTATCTCCAACCGCCAGCTTTCCATCCTTAGCAGCAGTTCCACCCTCGGACAGTTTAGATATGTATAGATGCTCTGACCCCTCCCTAAACAGTTTAGTTATGTTTAGATGCTCTGACCCCTCCCTAAACAGTTTAGTTATGTTTAGATGCTCTGACCCCCCCCTAAACAGTTTAGTTATGTTTAGATGCTCTGACCCCTCCCTAAACAGTTTAGATATGAAAAGATGCTCTGACCCGTCCCGAAACAGTTTAGAAATGTATCGATGCTCTGACCCCTCCCTTAACAGTTTAAATATGTAAAGATGCTCTGACCCCTCCTAACAGTTTAAATTTGTGTAGATGCTCTGACCCCTCCCTAAACAGTTTAGTTATGTTTAGATGCTCTGACCCCTCCCTAAACAGTTTAGATATGTAAAGATGCTCTGACCCGTCCCTAAACAGTTTAGAAATGTATCGATGCTCTGACCCCTCCCTAAACAGTTTAGATATGTAAAAATGCTCTAACCCCTCCCTAAACAGTTTAGAAATGTAAAGATACTTGAACCCCTCCCTAAACAGTTTAGATATGTATAGATGCTCTGACCCCTCCCTAAACAGTCAAGATATGTACATGTCAACTATTTTAAAATTGATCACAATTTTTTTATTTTTTACTTCAAAATCCAAAAGTTTTGGATGAACTATCCGGATCCGGATCTTGATCCAGGAAGCCAAAATCTTGCTGATCCAATGGATCCGAAATCAGGATTACATGCACTGAGGAAAATGCAATATTTTATTTTTGTTTTAATGCTTTACCAGTTATGGGTAACATCAGAGGCGGACAATAAGGACGGGTGGCAATAGGGCCTCTGGCCCCACCCCACCCTGGATAAGTTAAATTTAAAATCTATGGTTTCAAAGGAGTTTTTGGCCCCGATGAGTGCTGAGGTGTCCCTTAAAAGGAAAAAAATTAAACCCTCCTGGTCATATTTCTGAGTACGCCCCTGGGTAATATACATATATACAGTAAACACACAGACACACACGAATGTATATATATTCCATGTCTCTACTTTGAATAAAAATGTGTTACCTGTAAGGTGCAGCTCCTAGACCACCAGCTATTGAGAACCCTAATCCACTATTATCCCTGGTACAACAAATATTAAAACCTATCTCAAGTGCCCGGCGTTGCCCCCGGAATAAAAATTCAGATTTTGAAAAAAATATTTCATTTCTTGCCCCCCGGGGTACTCATGAGTTTCCTAAAAAATCAGCGAGTCAGGTCCAGCCATAGCTATTTTAATAACTTTTTCATTTTCTTTTGATATTTATATAATAATCATACTTTTTTTGTACAGAAAACCTCCCATAATATGATATTAATAAATGTAATCATAAGAATCTATATTTCTTTGTGTCTCTGTATTAGAGAAGATTTAAAAAACCTAAATATATGTGGGAGAAATTCTTTATTATATTGATGAACTTATTAATCCAATTATTTTCTTTTCATATGATTTCCAGAATTAATATCAAATTATCTGGAAAGTACGTTGTATACTGTATTCTGTACTTGACGGGTTATAAAGTGCCTAAAATTTCATTCATTTTAATGTAGATCCCTAACCTTCCTACCTTCCTCTTTTCCACCAAAACTTTCCCTTTCCTTCCTTTCGAATACCCTACCGAGCCTAACTTTCCCCTTCTCTACATTTCTCCTTCCCATTCCCTTTTTAGCTTTCCCTCCCATTTTCTTGGGTCTTTCATGTATCCCCCCCTCGGCAAGGAATTTTTTACACCTTTGTTTAAAAAAGGTAACATTTTTTCCCAAAAAAAGGTGGAACCTGGAGAAATTTTCACAATCCTCTTCAATCCTATTGATGTTATTGATAATTTAGTGTCGGACAAAGTTTGAAACTTTATTTGCTTCAAGTAAAAGGAAGATATTTGCTTGAAAAATATAAAGTTTTGAGCTCGTGAAATCGATTGTAAAATCCTAACTTCTGTAAGTTATTGTTCTATAAGATACGGTGTGAACCCCCTCCCCCCATCTTGAAGAATGCAGACCGTTCTATATCTGTTCCTTAGAAGCGTTGTGAATATTTTCTCCACTTTCACGACCATATCTTCACTCTCCCTAAACAAACATTTTATATAAAAGATATCTTAATAATTCGAAGCAAATAAATCCCGATTTTGACTACAGACATATTGAAGGAAGTTGCCAGAATTCAACAAGTTAAGATAAAAACAGCGATATATTCCTCATCATATTTAAATGAAGGTTGACTTGAATTTACGCCTGCAGTCCCTAGAGTTAAACCCTGAATTGCATTAGAAATTGCTTTGATTTTCTCCAAGATGTTAACACCTTCAACTAGAGTTAAACCCTTAATTGCATTAGAAATTGCTTTGATTTTCTCCAAGATGTTAACACCTTCAACTAGAGTTAAACCCTTAATTGCATTAGAAATTGCTTTGCTTTTCTCCAAGATGTTAACACCTTCAACTAGAGAATTTGGGAGAATCTTGATTTGAATTATCCAGTGTTTAAACCTTATATATCCTTTAATTTGTGAAATGTAATTGCTTTGATATAATATATTTTCATCTCGAGCTTCGAACAAACAGAAATGTAATTGAACCATGAAGCAACTAATCTTCTATTAAGATAAAACATAATAAATCTTGGTTTACAACAAAATCAACACAAACCAGGGATAATCTGTTAGGAGATTCGTGTCATCCAGCAATTAATGAGAAATGAGCTGAAAACTTTAGAATGGTGGATATCAGGATTAATGCATAAACTCCTGGTTTTACTAAACCCGAAATTATTTTAATACGCAGGGCATTCGATATCAAAGAAAGAAGTTTAAAATTTAACCAATCAGCTTACCATGTTATCATAACTTACCATGTTAACTTTTGAAAAACCGGTTTTTATTTCTGGTGTCATATCAATTGAACTAAACATCGATTGAACGAAAGTAAATATGGATGAATGTTTATTAGGACTAACGTTCAAAATGACAATAGTCCTAAAATGTGATAAAATATGTTATTTAATAAGTTCATTAAATTTATATTTGTTTAAATGCTCTAAAAGCCAGCTTGTTCACAGCTTACTTTAATTCAATCGATTATTAGTTCAACTGATATAGCATTGTATCTGTAATTGTTATCAAACGTAACTTTTATACAGTAGGAATATCCTAAAAATGAAGATTAAGAGTGAACTCAAAAGTGTGTACATCGGATAATCAGATTAAGCGATCGTGATTAAGGATATCTCATTCTAATAATTTCTGCTCCGACTTTTTGGCTTTATTCCAAGTGACCCAACATTTAAAGAGTTGCACGCTTCAAGAACAAACTTAGCCTACGTAAAATTGTTGAAGTTATCTGTATACTAATAACCTTCAATTGCGGCTTCTCTGTAAAAGTAACTTGCGGATTTACAAGCCTTGCGTTAAACCAATAACAATTGTATTGATGAAACTGACCTTTCATCATGTCCAATGAATACCCTTTAATCAGCTTGTATTGACAGTGACCTACCTGGAGAGATTAAGGGTTGATGACTCCCTGCGTTCACTGGTCGCTAACGGGGTCATTGTGCCAGACAACAAGCTCATAGACGAGGACATCAGGGGCACCGTGGACATGGGCGTCGTGGTTAGGGGGGTCCCTGATAGGGACGCGCCAGGGGACAGATTAGACAGGCTGGTTGTCTGAACAGGTGGGAGGTGTGTACGGGGCGGGGCAGGTTTAGGGGGCGTGTATGTCTGGGGGGAGGAGGAGGGCAGGACTTTAGTAATTTCTCGGACAATCACCATTGTAATGTTGCTACCGGCAGCCTAAAAATAACATAATCTTAATTGGTCTAAAATAAAAATTGTAACTATTTAATGAAGAACAGTTGGCTCAAATTGGGACATTTTACTTATGCGAATGTATTTTTAACCAAAAATAAACAGAGTTCGGAACTTTTGTATTCATATTGCTGATTTTGATGCGTGAACTCGATATCCAATGTTGGCAATATTAAAATTTGTGGATCAGTGATTATTACTTCAATTAAAGTTATCCCAGCAGGGTAAGTCACTCCTGGGATATCGAAGAGGAATTAAATCAATCTGAGACCGAATTTAAAGAATTTGAGCCGCGGCTTAAATCCGCCAAAACCCGGTTTAAATTAAGCGCCGGCTTAAATGTTGTAACATTTGATACAATTTTAAGTGGAACCAACCATATTTAAGCCGCGGCTCAAATTCTTTGAATTCGGCCTCTGTAGATCTGCATAGGATGGAGATCAATGCCGCGCTTGATCCCAAGATTTACAACACAAGTTCTGATTTCTGGAAAATAATTTTCAGATTTAAATCAAATAAAAGAAAAGTTCGTGGTAGCTCTCCAACGTGGAACCCCGAGAAGTGATCCATTTGCCGGCATTTTAAGATCTTGAAAAAAATTGCTTGTAAAAAATGCCCTACCTTTAAAATTCCTACAGCTTCGTAATGATCTACATTTATACAACTGATATCATTCACAGATAAAACTTTATCATTCACCTACAAAACAATTATAAATGATTTTTAATGTTCTTTATTTAAAGGGACTGTACGCGCAATTTCAAGTGACCCTCCGTTCAAAGATCGCAATACTCGATTCACAACAGTACCCTTAAAAGCGTTGCTTGATGAAGTTTTTGTATCTTTAAACTGGTTATTTTTCTATTGTGTTTTGTTTGGCCAAAATCATTAATATTTCCCAAACGGTTTTACGGAAACGCCCATATCTCAGTCATTTTTTAATATTTTTCAAATCCGTTTTTTCTAGTGCATTACCAACGTTCCTGTGCATCTATATTTGGGCGCTAACGTTTCTTATCGAATTGCAAAGGATGACAAAATTTGAAAATGTCTAAATTATATATTGGAATGATCAGAAATAAAAACATAAAAAATGTCAATATCTTCCACTTTATTGAATAGATAACGGTTTCAAAAGTAGCATAAAGGGTCACTTTAGATAACGCTTAGAGTCCCTTTAAACAAAATCTTTTTCGCTAAAATATAACTTAAGTACTGTGTGGGTTTTTAGATTAAAAATGTGACTTTGGGACATTCTTTCAAATTTAGAATTAAAAGAGTTTATTTTATTAAATAATGTGAAGGATTAAAAAGGACTGTGGCCGTAATTGTATATTTTTTTTTTTAGAAGGCATGTTCGAATCCCAGCGGTTTCCAATAACGCTTGTAGTTGTTGATAACTGATTAAATATATATATATATATATACATCATAAGATAAATGAGGGTGGCTTGAAATTACGTCTACAGTCCGTTAAAACAAGGATTAAATAAAAAAAATGTTAATTATAAATAATAATGTAAATTCGAGAATTCTCATAGCATTAAATCAAACTTCTATATACAGTAGTATTATGAATCAAACAAAAAAATTCAAGTATAAGTCAACACCAAATTAAAGTTTGCAGAAAGAAATCAGTTGAGAACGGATTTTTTGTAACAAAATGTGAAAAAAATAATCTTACCCTTAACCCTGCAATATCTGCAGGTCCTCCTGGGGTTATACGAGATATAAACACTCCCTCGTCATCACCCTAAACACATGTTAAAAAAGAAAATTGTCGGTGTCCCTTCATACTTTATACTTAAAGTAAGTTCCAAAAAAAATCATATAATAGTAATAATAATAATAATAATAATAATAATAA